TCCAGCCGAATCATCATGATTGCAAGAAATTCATTCACAAAACTTGAAACATAAGAAAATGAAAATGAAAGTGATGAAAGATGATGCACAAGTAAAAACCATAAAACCAAACAACAAAACAAAACAGAACAGACTAGAAACCACACTGCAGCAAGTAAAGTAGGTAAGGAAAGACTTCCCTGAGTGGTCAACACCGCTATTGAGTTCCTCTTCAGAATCATTTTGAGGCACTACGCAACCTCAATCGCCGAGATGATGACTCCGGAGCAACTGATTTTCCTTTATCTGCTCTCCTCACAGAGACAGCGACTTCCGGTTCCTGTGGCTCTGCTGGTGTGGAACTGGGATGGTCGGCAACCACTTCTTCCTCATCACGAGGTTCGTCAGCATTAGAGGATGAGTCACATAAATGTTGGGGAAATTCCAGAAAGGAATGGAATCTGCTGGAGTTGGCTCTGAAATGTTTCTGGAGAGCCAAGTCTCGCCGCTTCACATATTTTCAGAACTTGTGCATCTGCTATAAAGAGATATATTGCAGGACCTCCATGTGACTTAATCTTTGTTCCAAGCGGCAGAAACCTGCTGCCAAATCATTGCTAGGCCGCTCGGAAGCAGGAGCGCTAGGCGCAACAGGTTCAAGTGCTCGACTCGCTTCCACCTCAGGTTGTGTATCATCCTACCAGAGCCTGGTGATTGCTGCACGCGTGAGGGGCATTGGGGGCTGCTCTTTTGGCTCAGAGTTCTCAATCACAACACCATGTGTTGTGCATAACTGAGTGATAAGAGATGGGAACCGTAGCCCACCATTGTTCCGCCTTGCACAAACACCAATTTGTTGCTGGAGGATTTTGCCCACATTAATGTCTCTACCCTCCATTAGATTGTAGAGAAGGATAGCCCTCTCTTTGTGCACCACATGATCATGGGAGGAAGGCATCAGTTGGAATTTCAAGAAATGGAACTAGACTTTCGGTCCTGGCTTGAGAAGCCTCTGAGGGATTGTCATGAAACCACGTGTGGCCTTTGTCCACTCAGCACCTTCCATACACAATGCGTGAAGGATTTCATCAAGCTGCTCCTCATCCAACCTTGCAGCAAATTCCTGGAAATGATCTTCTGTATCTGGCAGATTGTACATTCTGTTAATTTCCGCTAACGTGAGTGGAATCCAGTGGTCTTGCACAAAGACTAATTCTGGTGTAGCTGCGTTGTAGTTCGCGTGGAATTCTTGCACCGAGTCACTGCAGCCGGTTGACGATGGCGGAAAGTTTGCCATGCATGTTTCTCGATGATTGAGCGAACGAAATCCGGGTAACCCAAAGTGTTGCTCTGCGCAAAGACAAACCCCTTTTCCATATGTAAAGCCCGGGAGCTTGTACACGTGGTGAACCTATCTAAAGCTTGAGGAGAGACAAACCGTTTCATAATCTGATCCTCTGGTTCAGAATGTGTTTCTGAACTGTCGGATTCAGCCCTCTCAGGCACGGCCTTCCCCTTCCTCGCTTTGCTCTTGAATGGCATGTTGAGGTGGTAGCGAAAAAAAAAACTGAACTATGACCACCTGTTTGTCTTCACTACTCGAGATATGGTTGCCCTCCCCCAAAAATTACTACTCACTGACCCCAACAGGACTAATTCTTCCTTGCCGTACCCAACTCCTCTCAAAACCTAAAACTGCTCTGCCTCTAACCACACATATATCTACACTTTTTTTTTTTTTAATAAACTCTTGGAGCTCGCTCACAATAATGACAGAAAATACCCCCAAATCTCAACACATCCAAGTATATTCCACTAGTCAACACAGACAATCAATGAGAAAATAAAAAATCACCCCTACCTTTTGTGGCCGCGGCATGCTCTACCCCCAAACTTAAATGCACTGCGCTGTGAGAATGCCTCGCTGAAGATACTAGGGGTGAGTGAGGCTTTAGTGGTGTGATTGATGAAGATGGCAAGGGCGCGGCGGTGATGGGAGGAAGAAGATAAGTGGCGGCCGAGAATGGAGTGGAGTGTGAGTGGGGCGTTTGAAAAATGAAAAGAGGAGCACAAGTGTGGTTGGTGAAATTAAGGCTTCAGGAAAATGCTGAGCGAGTTGTCGTTTTTTTTTTTTTAACAGGAAATAATGGGCGCCACGGCTTTGTTCTCCCTGGTTTTTGGCTAGGAAGTAATGGGCGCTGCGGCGCTCTATGTGGGCGTTGCGGCGCTGAACAAGCTGAGTGAGTTTTCATTTGTTACTTGCTGCCCAGAATGCTGCCTAAGATGCTGCAACATAGTCATAGCATTCTGGGCGACTTACTATGACTTTTTCATGTTCCTTGCTTGCTTCCTGATTCCTTTTCAGCGTTTCTTTTCTCGACACACAAGCGAAAATGCAAAGGCAAAACAGCAAAACAAAAACAAAAACAGATGAAAACAAATCCTTGGGTTGCCTCCCAAAAGCGCTTGTTTTTGAGTCATCAGCTTGACTACTTCCCTGATTTATGCCTCCTGTAAGCTGATGGAAGTCTTGCAGCGATCCACAGGACCTCCAAAATAATGCTTGATCCGTTGGCCATTCACCAAAAATTTCCTTCCAGATTGAGTTTCTTGCAACTCCACTGCTCCATGGGGAAAAACTGTGGATACCATGAATGGTCCGGACCATTTAGATTTCAGCTTTCCAGGGAAAAGCTTCAGTCGTGAGTTAAACAGAAGAACTTGCTGCCCTGGTTAAAACGTCATGCTCAGTATCCTTTTGTCGTGCCATCATTTGACCTTCTCTTTATAGAGCCTTGCATTCTCATAAGCTTGCAGCTTGAATTCATCCAGCACATTCAATTGCAATTCTGCCTGCCAATCAAGGTTCAATTTCTTAAGAGCCCAAAAAGCTCTATGTTCCAACTCTACAAGCAAATGGCAAGCTTTTCCATAAACCAGTCTATATGGTGATATTCCCAATGGTGTTCTCATTAACTGTACAGCCTATTTATAGATTACAAAACAGTCTACCTACAAGCTATTTATGGTAACACAATATTCATCACTAATTACAAATAAAGGCCTAATATACAAGAATTTCCAGCTTGCATTGACTCTGGAAATCAGGGAACAAATTCCCTTAAAACCAGAGTCAACGAATCCTTGAAGATTCGGCAACAGGTCTTTTGTCCTTTTTCCTCCATGTAGTGTGCTGATGTCATACCACTTGCCAGCTGCACCTAGAATGCTACTGCTTTCTCCCTACAATTTGCAAAATCACAATTTAGGCATATTTCAACCTCTTTTTGATTCAAATCACTCCTTAACCCGAGAGCAGCACAAGTACATAATTTAACAAGATAAAATGCAAAACCAGAAAATCTAAGTTAAAACACAAAAAAAACAATGAAATACACTCTTGGCTAAGCAAACTTTAAGCTAAAAATGCATAAGATAACTCTAATTTTTTAGAGTTATCAATTTCTTTGCATTAAATAGCCATTATCCATTAAATGGCTATTCACCTATAAATAATACTATAGACTCTCACGTACTTCAACATTCTATTACTTTCCCACAAATAAAGATAATGATGATCAAAAGGTATTCTAGCAAGAATCCAGACCCTGTAGATGGTAAAGGAGAGCTAGACAGCAGTCTATGGAGTCAGCTACCCTTTCAATTTGAATCTGAATTATATGAACCATCCTCTCCTACACCAACCCAACTTACACCCCTTTGTCCTTATAGCTTTTATAAATTTCTACTTTCTCACGCACTTTCAGATCTATTATCCCGACAAGACAGAGAAAGCTTACATCTGTTTACCAGTCCTCAGTTGCAGGCTTCTCGAACAATCTCTTTTTATATATTACAGTCAGTTCCATAGTTAAGTAGAGAGGTTTGTCAAGAATTGAACGGTATTGAGGTTGAACGTGAAGCTTAACTTAAGGTTGTTTACAGAAATTGTGCATTTCTTGGTAGCTTCCTTGCACTTTCCAAAAGTGGAAATGATATTGATATAAACTCTATCACAATTGATGTATTTTACAAATGTTGCATGTGAACTCTCTATTGCTTTTTAATTGCAGAGATTTGGTGTAAAAGAATAGATCCCAACACTTCTAGCTTTACACTATAGTTAATAGTTGTAAATGACATATTTTGTTGTAACTTAACAATCTGTTATTCATGACTCTGGATTTCAGGCATGACTACTTGGTTGTAAGTTATGCTCTATTATTTTGGTGAAATTTTGGCAATGCCCCGGCCCTTTGTGAGTCGTTTTCTGGTAGTCAGGGTTCTCTCTTTTTTTTTCCCAGCAGCCAGGGTTTTCTTCTGATCTCCTTTTCCTTGATGATTTGGCACTTTATTTATTCTTTCCCTTTACCCCGTGGTTCAAAATATAGTGAATTAACCGGAAGGTGTAATCTATTTTTGGTCATCTGTTAATGCTAAAAGTTGATATTTGATAGTGTTTCCATGATGTTCAGTTTTTATGAGAATAAAAAATTTCAGAGTAATTGTAGTAAATAGCATATTTTTTAAACTAAATTAAGTAAATAGTAGATTTTAAAACTATTTAAAGTAAATAGCAGTTTACCATATAAATGATTCATTTACGTCTGGTAAAAAATAACTTACATGATAAAAAAATCTTAGAAAATCTATATTTACGTGGAAAAGAATCTTTTTACCAGTCGTAAAAAGAATCTTTTTACGTTTACGTGGGAAAAAATCTTTTTATGAGTTGTAAATGAACCATTTATACGGTAAACTGATATTTTCTTCAAATAGTTTTAAAATCTGCTGTTTACTTCATTTAGTTTCATAAATATGCTATTTACTATATTCTCCCAAGATTTCATTGCAAAATTTCTCTTATTTTTCTATTTTACATATATGAATAGACAGCTACTTAATGTTTAACTTGTTTCCTTTCCCTGCTATGCAAAGCATTCTGGCATTATGTGGTATATTAGTGGACCCAATTTGATTTGTGTTTTACATGGTGCTTGATTATTTTCAATGGCATTTAGGTTCTTGTGGCGTCACAATGCAACTTTTGCAATCTCAAGGCATTATAGACGCTATGATGTTTTTGAGGAGGCTGAAGCTAATAAAGCTGCTGGAAAATACGACAATGCTACCATTGATAGGCAGATTGAGTTTTACAGAAAAGAGGGTTTGAAACCATATTCTACCGCTAAGCTTCCTATAACTAGTGGTAGGTTTGTGATCCATCATTCACGTATGTATGTATTGAAATAATTAGCTGGCGTACATATATCTGAGTATGTTTTGCAATGTATGTTTGCATGTGTGTTATACATGTTTAGCCCCCTTTCTTTTGGGGTCTTAATGAGAAGTTTTTCTTTGACTTCCTGCAGATGTTCCTGAAGGTTGTGTAATCATAAGAGAACACATTCCTATTACCAATCTGTTTACCTGTCTATGGTTCAACGAAGTTGATCGTTTTACTTCTAGGGATCAGTTAAGCTTTTCCACAGTAAGGGATAAATTAAGGCAAAGAGTTGGTTGGAGTATCAATATGTTCATGGATTGTGAAAGGCGTAATTTCGTAATACAGGTGCGAGATTTTAATGATCATTATTTGCTGTGTTGGGATTTTTTATATTTTTTATTTTATTTTTTTTTTGAAGCTATGTGCTGTGCTGGATTGAAAAGCTTATTCAAAGCCTTTTCTGCTACATTTTCGGTGTGCTTAATTGTTTAGTCAAGCCTTTTTTTTTTTTTTTTTTTTTTTTGAGTTTTGACCGAGGTGTAGTGTTATGTTGATTGCTCTATTGAACCATTGACTATTGTTGGGATATTAAGTAAACTATAGAGGTATAATTGTTGCTTGTGACCAGAGTTTGAAAAACTATGCACGTCATTTCTACTTTAATCAGAAAATGGTGCTACAGCTTACTTTAATTTGCCAAAACCACTTTTCTAAATGCATGCATAAAAGGAATGAGCCTTGAAAGTTGGAATCAAACACTTGGACTCCAGTGGCCTGTAACAAGTTTGGTGGAATTCTCACAACCCTATGAATAACTTAAATGATGAACCTAACTGGGCTGTCCTTTAGTTTCCTTTCCACATGTCGCCGCCAAAAGTTCATATATCTCAATGTTGTAATGTTTTTTTTTTTTTTTTTTTTTTTTTTTTTGGCAGACATACCACAGAGAATTACTAGAGCACATGCCTACTCCTGAAGTGAGTGATTTCAGACCAGTTCTTCCAAGTGGTAACACATATGGTAAGACTCCAGCAGGAAAGAAGGCTTCTACTCGACGAGGGCGAGAAAGAAAATCCGGTTCAAAGCGTCACCGGAAGGTAACTGCTGGTGGTAGATATAACAGCTATTTTTAATTGTTTCCTTTATTGATTGATTGTCCCGCTTTCTCTCCTCTTTTTGACTCAAGAGAAAAATGTAATTTTTTTTTTTTCTCCCTTTTTGTCTCGTTTAAATCACAAGTAGGAAGGTCTTGCTAAATCTGTGCAGAAAAAGGGAAGCAAAAGATACCACTCTAATTTTTGTTTGGGAATTGTTGATATATATTCAATTTCGCTGTAAATACCGTGCCCTTAATAAGTTCAATACGAGCTGCTGCGATTTTTCCTTGTGTTATGTGTGATACTTGTGTTTCTATGTATATGTGTACTTATTATCATGTCGAAAATAATCATAACAAGAAATGAGATTGAATAGTTACCTTAAATGTTTATCTTAAAACCTTAATGCCTGTATAGGATGTTTTGCCATCGTTATATGATATCTAAACCCTGAAGATTAAAAGAAATATGTATATCGCACTCGGGCAAAACATAGCTTTGAAAATGAAATTTGTTAAGATATCCATTGAAGATTCCTAGGTGGAAGATTACCACACTGTGTAGATTACTTATTGGAGAACTAAAAGGGGTTGTTTGGTTAAACAAGTTAAACTGTCGAGATTTAAATCTTTAGAACTGTAAAATTTGAATTGTTATAATTTGAATTGTTATAATTTTAATTGTGATTTGAACCGGTGTTTAAATATATAAATAAATTGTAATTTAAATTGAGAATAAAATCCGAACTGTGGTTGGATAAAGTGTTGAAAACTGTCATTAGAGTTTTGTAACAAATTTTATAAAATCTTATTGTAAATGATATTAAAAAATATGCAATATAGGTGGGGATTTGTTCTTCTCTTCATTATAAATACATTTAAAAAAATCATCTCAAATTGGAATTAAAATGAAGAAGTTATGACATTTTTAAGATTAAAATTGAAGAAAGAGAAAAAGTAGAATTTGAAACTGTTGAATTGTTAACAACAATTCAAATTTTTAGAATTTAAGAGGAGGTGAATTTTAAAAGTTAAGGATTTGAACCATTGTTAATGGTTTGAATTGTCCTTTAATTTTCTTTTTTCAAATACCAATTTAATTTCTGAACTAACATTTGAATCATAACTAACAGTTTGAATTGTTGAAATAAGCAGGGCAAAAGAGTAATTTTGAAGGTATACTCTTCTCTCTCTGTCTCAATTATCTTACTATAAATCTTCATGAAATATTTTTCTATTTTCATTTATTGGAAGAAACGACGTGGCATTGTTTCCAAACATGACAAGATTTATATTCAAGCACAATAAATTACAGAAGTCTAATAGATAAGAATTTACAGTTGGCGTGGGACATAAAAAAGGGTAAAAAATGTTATTTATGCAACTCCATTCTAAAATAAATTGTTGTTATTTAATTAATAAAAAGAAAAAAAGACTAATAATACTTAATTATTTAAAATGACATAAATAATAAATCCATAACAAATGATGTACTTTCTCATTTTGGATAATATATTGGCATTTAATATAGAAAGATCACTATTTTTAGTTGAATCTCACTACTGTAATAATCGGATTATCAAAGTAGAGCATGTGAAATCCATCTAATTCCTGGTAGAATCCTAATTTCTTATGAATATATTTTATCGTATTTATTAAAAAAAGTAGAGAAAATTAAGATTAATCAGCTACAAAAACTCACGAAAAGATTTGAGAGAGAGTCAGAGGTTTGGAGTGTAGTGCTTGGTCAGAGCTCCGGCATCGCTTCCGAGCGCGGCCCCAGGCTTTTGACCCTAACACTTAGTCCTCGGACTCACCTCGTCATCTTCTCTGTGGTGGTGGTAGTGTGTGGAGTGGCGCTTTCGTTGGAACGAATCGGACACGCTTTAGAAGTGTGGTACTGTTCGTTTAGGCTATTGTTTCCAACATGTTTGCCGGATGGTGGCCGTGCTCCCTTGGCGCTTTGTTCATGTGGCAGTGGGCTTCTCTTGGAGGCAGTGTTTCGAATGCCGGCGGTAGCTGTGATGTGTGAGTTTCTCTTGTAGTTTGACACCATTTTTTCGACATCGTTGTGTCTCTTTCAAAGTCATTCGCCTTCCTAGGTGACATTCTCGCTGATTGCACTGTGTTTTTATTTGTGGTGTGTTTTCCTTACTATAATAACTTGTCACGACCCTAAGGATAGAGCCGTGATTATTTTAAAATTTAACATAATTAAACTGGACTGTTTAACCAAATCACAAAATAATTACATAAATATCAATATAGTTTGCTCCGGAGACTTTATTTCACAAATAATATTTAGAATAGTCCATTAAGTCCAAGAAAAATAATACAACTCAGGGACAATGTCGACCAATACAGTTTACATACAGAAATACAGTACATCTTAGAATTTAAAACCGTAAATCCGAAATAAACGTACCGCTTCGAATTTCGTACCTTCAATCCATTGGCATCCACTTGTTACGCTGCAAATCTAAACCGCTAACTCTGAAGGAGGGGTTTAAAACATTGAAAACATAATAAAAGTGAGCGGAATGCCCAGTATGATATAATTTTTTATAAAAATATTTTAAATAAAGGTACTCACGGTCCGAAGACATACACCAGGAACCGATCATCCTTTTTAGAAGAGGAAATACTCACATAGTAGAAAATATCTGTATAATGAAAGTGTGTAGCTCATCATACCACTGAACAAGGAGCAGTAAAATGTCTGTCTAGTGAAAAGTGCAGAGCCATAATTTCACTTAGCAAGAAGTGGATCCGTACAGGTTTCGGGACCTGCCCCTAAGGATGCGATTCCCACATCTCGATCTCTGAGGTCACCATGCGTTGTATCATTCCTTAAAGTATTTCATTTTAAGAAATGATACTCCTTAAAATCTCATTTCCAAAATTATTGGAAAACTTAATAGCATTCTCATGCTATTCCTTTGAAATCATTTTCTTTAAATATGTTTTGTTCTAAAACATTTTCATTGGCCAAAATCATTTAAAATGAGGCTAACAAGGATATGGACAAGAATATCCTACCTTTCGGATGTCAAACCTAGGCTAGCCTTCCATTCTCATAGCCTCCGCTTTCCTTAAAGCTTTAATACTTGACATTCTCCACTAGCTTTATCACAAAAGCAATATCTTAAGAAATATTTCTCATTCCTAAAACGAATTAAGCTTAATCATGTTTAATTGTTTCTTATTAGCGTGCCTTCACTCAAATCCAATTTCACAAATGATTTTATAATCAGTTTGAGGGTTCTTTAAAGATTGAAATCCAATCCATGAGTTTAGTTTCCTATTTAATTTCAGCTTAAAAATAACTTTTTAAAGAAATTTCGGCAGTATGCCGACATAAATAGGAAAAATGCCAAACCTGCAAATCAAGTTCAATTTCAAAATAATTCTCCAGAATCCATCAAAATCAGTTTCCAATCAACTAAACAAGTCTAATAACTGAAAACCCCTAAATTTCAATCAATTTCAACAACAATTGTTCAAATCTAAACCCTAACTCACAATTATTTAAATCTAACCAAAATCAAACTTTCTCAAGCTTAAAATTCGAATCAAAGAGTGGGTTTCAAAGGGTTTTACCTTAATCAGTTGATGGAGCTTTGTCTCCCTCAGTTTCTCCCATTTTCGTTCCGTTTTTTTTTTTTTTTTTTTTTTTTTGGCTCTCGGCTAGCCCCGCCCACGGCTAGCCAGCCAAGAGAGAGAACAGAGAGAGGGAGAAATGGCCGGAAAGGGACAGAGAGAGAGAGAGGGGCAACCGGCGGGAGAGAGATCCCGGAGAAAGTGGCCGGCGTGAAGGAAGAAAGAGAGGGAGATGGGCGGCGTGAGAGGAACCAGAAAAGGAAGAAGAAAAAGAAAAAGAAAGAGAGAGAGGGGGGCTGGGCTGTGTCTGGGCAGCCACGGGAGGAAAAAGGAAGGGGAAAAAAGAAAAAGAAAAGAAAGAAAAGAAAAGGAAAAGAAAGAAAAAATAAATAAATGAATAAATAAAAATACATTAAAATTAAGTGTATTTTTAAAAACTTTTGAGGTGAAAATTGAAAAACTGAAAGTAATTTATAACTCTTTAAAATAACTCGAAAACTTAATCTTTAATCACAATATTAATCAGAAAAAAAATCAATTTTAGGCACACTAATATACACAATTAGTAAAATTAAACATGTTTAATTCTAGAGGGCGTTACATAACTGGGGTTTTCGCCCCACTATCTTGGTTTATTCTTGGTGTCTGTTAGATTGGTGTCTTGGCGGGTTTTGGTGTAGCCTTATTGCTATGATGATCTGTCCCTTCATCGCATATAAGCTTATTTTGATAGGAGGGGTTTTATCAAATAGATTTTATAGGTGTACTTGATCTTAGTGTGCCGAGGTATTCTTTCGTTATTGGGCCTCAGGCGTACGCCTCTCCCTCTGTTGGTCATTAGCCTTATATTATATTATATGTTCCTTTGTTTTTGTTTAGATACAAATTCTTCTTTTTTTAAAAAAAAGGTATAGAAAATTAAACATCCATGTTGTCAGTATTATTAAGCATATTAGAGCATCTCTAATGCAATGTTATAATTAATGTGTCAATTGTAACTTTAATATTTGAGTGCACAAAACACTTTCTATGCAGTGTTATTTGTTGTACCAAATTTCTCATATGCTATATTTTGTGGCAAATTTCTCATATGCTATATTTTGTGGCAAATTTCCCACCATGTTAGCATACGGAAAATTTGACATTTGATTACTATTGGTTGAATTGTTTACTTTTTTCATGTAATTAATGTAACTTTTACATTTTCTAATTATTTTAAAAATAAAAATTTACTTTTACAACTTTCAAAGCTTAATAGTTATAGAAAAAAGTAAATTGAGCATTTCAAATAGCATTATGTGGAGCAAAAATGAAAATAACATACCATATCATAATTTTTGATGCTAAATATACAATTGGCATAAGCATTTGCATTGGAGATGGTCTTAAAGCATTTTTAATCCAATGTCAAATAAGAGTACTAGTACTAAATTTTAGTATTTGAGTAGGAAAATTACTTTATATTACAATGTTATTCTAAGTGCTAAATTTGACTTGTCATATTTGATGGTAAAGTTGACACTAAATACAATGGATTTAAATCACATGTTTAATTTTTGGTATTTTAATTAATGTCTAATCAATTATATTATGACACAACGTTTAATGATTTAAACATTAAAGCATGAAAAAAGTTAATTAAAAGGTATTTTATATCTTTTAGATGATGTGACATAATTTAATAGATTAGACACCAATTAACATAAGAATTAAATCATTACACTATTAGTATTTTTCATTATTTTAAAATAAAAAATTTACTTTTTACATCTTTCAAAACTTAAAACTTAATGAGATCAATAAAAAAGTAGGTATGGTAGTTAAAATACTATTATTTATTGGAGCTTTTTCACAATGTTTAATGTAGTGCTGAAACTTTGGACGGGTCGCCCGTGACCACTGAAAAGTCTAAATTTTTACCCGAATACCGAACCCGAACTACCCGAAAATTCGGACTGCCCGACTCGACCTGAAAATTGCCCATGGACAGGCCTCGGGCAGGGGGTGCCTGCCCGATGCCCGACCGGCTGCCCGAATTTCAAATTTTTTTTATATTATATTTTTATGTTGTATTTGTATAATTACAATGTGTATATTACAATTTGAAATTTGAAATGAACACACGAACTATATAAAAAAAAATTATTTCTTCATTGATTTTTAAATTTGTAATTCATGATTGCCTCGTTAAAAACCTTACAAAGAAAAACCCAATTGGGATAAAAACTTGGTAAGGGAAAAAGAGTGCAATCATTGTGGGACGAATTACAAATTTGACGAACTTACAAAGTATATACAAGATTACAATAACACTATACAAATTAGAAATTACAAAGTAAATAAATATTTACAAATTATAATAATATAATTTAATTTGAAGCAGAAGGATCGTCTTGAAAATTAAAAGTTAATCTATTAAATTCGTTGATCCATTCTTGGTTTGCCGGTGAGATTGTATCGTGTAAGCGTTGGTCGGAACAGTCCCAATCCTTGATGCACACCAAAGTTTCAACAATATCTTGCTGCAATGCGTTTCTCAGTTCTTCAAGTATTCGGCCGGTTGTACTGAATGCTTGTTCGGCTGCAACAGTGGAGACCGGGATCGTAAAAATATCCATTGCCAGTCGTGTTAGGATCGGCCAAGTTAATGCTCGTGCCCTCCACCACTCAACCAAATCAAACATTTCACTACTGTCTATAACTAAGCCCTCACTCAGGTACGCCATTAACTCGTTGAATCCGCCGCCACCTCTTGATGAAGATCCACTCCCAAATTCTTCTTGACCTTGAGTCGTCATCGTCGTCGTCTTCTTCTTCTTAGACAACCCGAAAACATTCAAGAATGAATGTGGATTGTCGTCTCGTTGTTGCGGTTGTTCAACACGAGATGTGTTTCTAAACCTACTTTCGTAAGAGATATATAGAGAATATATTTTTTCCTTTATAATAGGAAACTGGTCAGTAGTGTCTATAGCTAAAAATTCACCTAAGTTATCTAATCCACTTTCTAAACCTTCTAATTTTAATCTAGGGTCAAAAATAACACCGAAACCATACAACATGGGTAATTTAGACCAATATTTTTTAAATTTCTTTTCCATAGAGGCAATAGGAACTTCTAAAACCTCATGTGTCCTAAATTCACTAAATAAAATAGACATTCTTAAAAGTTCTCCTAATGCTAATGGTGAAGTTGGGTAATAAGTTCCACTAAGCTTTAAGGTAACTACGTGAAATCTACCTAAAAAGTTATACAAAAGTTCGGCAATTTGCCAATCAGTTTCATCTATAAATCTTGTTCCTAATTTT